TGGGCATGGTGGTGCATGCCTGTAGTCCCAGCTACTGGGGAGGCTGAGGCAGTGCTGTGAGCTAGGCTGACACCAGGGCACTCTAGCCTGGACAACAGAGTGAGACTCTGTCCCCCCTCCCCCAAAAAATAATAATAATAATTATAAACAAAGTTTATGAGCTGTGACAAGATCATGAGCAATATGTTAACTACAGAAAAGTAATATATACTTGTTATTAATTTTAATGCAGTTTCCATAAGCAAGATGCCAATCTGAAATTTAATCTTATGAATGCTCCAAGGGAGAAACTAAAATAGTTAAGCTTTGTAATAAAAAATAGTATATAATATCTGTAAACTATACACATTGCCATAGATTCAAATCAACATGCAGTCTTTTACTTGAGATACATTAAAATAATTATATGAAATATTTTAATTTTAATACACACGTTTTCCTGTAACTTTAACAGGCATTCTTTACTTAAGTAAATGTCATGAGTTATTTTCATGTAACGTGTCAGTCATAATGTATCGAGTTAATATATATTTCTTTTAATTTTGATACCACATCTTCTAGGGGAAAATGCACATTCAATTGATGTTTTCCTGCAAATTTGGAAAATTTCTATTGACTACATTCAGAGCCTAATTTTTTCCAATATGTTCACATACTTTATAAAAAGACAAATGAATTATAGTTATTTAAACTGTAAATTTATTTTCTTCATTGGGAATATGAATGAAGAGAACATGGAGATACCACACAAAATTCAGTGCCAAGTACCACATTAATTCATTCAGAGAATAATGGTAGAGAAGCTAGAGTGCTATGACAGACTGCATGGGGGATACTTTGAACGATATCTCATGCTTCTAATTTTCAGAGAAATATAATTTTTTGGTATGATGGTTATTGTTCTGGGTCTAAAAAGAGGCTGGAATTTTAATAGTATTGGAAAAGACCAAAGACTTTCCAAGTCAGAAGATAAGTGCAACCAAATCTTCAGAGGTAAAAATGGGCATATTGTGTTACAGGGACAGTTAGAGATGTAATATTTTAAGAGAAAATAATGTTCACAGTATAATGCTAAAATATAAAGTAAAAAATGCTGAGTATGTGTGAGGAGTATTTTTCTGGGATGATCCAGGATAAATATATTCTCAAAAAGGTGAATTAACACAAACTATTTTACAGTTCAGCATAAAAGAGAAAGAATATTTTACTTTTAAAATCAGGAGTGCAACATGATGACAAAGTCCCATAGCGTCTCCAGTGTCACATGTGTTGAATTGTTATCAAAACTGAAAACAAATCACTGATGTTGTAGAAAATTACAAATAAATATATGAACAATAGTGGCAAGCAGCAGAGGTTTTAGAAATAAACTGGGTAGTGAAGTTCAAATGCACTAAACAAATGATAGGGAATGACTATTTGGGTAAGGAACATAAGCACTGTCATGAATTCCTTTAAGTTTGCTCATTTTAGTGTTCAACACATATAAGCTTATTCTTAAATGGCTGTATTTCTTCTATTTATTAAAATTCAACACAATGTATATGAATTTTATGGACATGAGTCAGGAATTTTTTTTTTTTCACCATTTATAAACTACTAAGCATTGTAGGAAAAGACTGTAGTGAATCAGGGCACACAGACCTTGAGCCTTATGGCTTTTACCTGAAAAATATATAAATTATTCAGCGATGACATACGCAAAGTACTGAGCACAATAATTGTTACGTAGTGAGCTCAATAATTGGAAAATATTGGAAAATGAATTCTTTTAATGTGAGCTGCTTTCTAGCGATTCTCCCCTTTTTTCATTCTAGTGTCATAGCCGTCAGCTTCAGCACAATCTGTTGTGATGCTTCCTCGGGTAGTCTTTGAAGAGTGGGGTTTAATTAGGAAAAAAAATTTCATGGCGGGACAAATGAAAATTGCATCTCTTTTTGTACAGTCAATAACAAATAAAATATCTCAGCATTTAAATTGTATGCTTATTTTAGATTTGAAAAAACTAATGGGTAATAATCCTTTTCTGCGGCTTACAAGAGAAATATTAAAACAAAAATGTAATACAGTCAGTCACCTTGTATGTACATTGATCCTTGATAAATCAGCTTCTCAGATAAGTAGAGATGCATCTTCAGGGGTTTTAATTTTAACCTGAATAAAACGGAACAAACCTAGTTGCATTATATATCGTCTTTTGTTGATGTTTTTCTGTTACCAAAAAAGGAGTGTCTTTATTACTGAACTTTCTCTTTTCTCTCTTTTTAGTAATTCAAGAAAAATATATTTTCATTGTTCATTCATAGACCTTGTTCTTGTTCTTTTTGCTCTTGCCCTTCCCATCCCTTTTGTCTCCTTCCTTTCTTCCCTTTTGACTCCCTTTTTCTAATGATGAGAGGCAAACTTTTCGTTCTTTTCACTTCTAGAACTGACTTCTTTTTTTTTTTTTTTTTTTTTTTGAGACAGAGTTTCGCTCTGTTGCCCGGGCTAGCGTGAGTGCCGTGGCATCAGCCTAGCTCACAGCAACCTCAAACTCCTAGGCTCGAGCGATCCTACTGCCTCAGTCTCCCGAGTAGCTGGGACTACAGGCATGTGCCACCATGCTCGGCTAATTTTTTCTATATATATTTTTAGCTGTCCAATTGATTTCTTTCTATTTTTGGTAGAGACGGGGTCTCGCTCTTGCTCAGGCTGGTCTCGAACTCCTGAGCTCAAACGATCCACCCACCTCGGCCTCCCAGCGTGCTGGGATTACAGGCGTGAGCCACCGCGCCCGGCCTAGAACTGACTTCTTGAATTTAAAATACTTAGGGGACTCTACAATTATTTTTCTCTTCTGCACTGGCCTCTGGAATCATTCACCAGATGTCTGCTAGCTGGTTAACAGTTATGCCACTTATGCTTGACTATTCTTTTCATAAAAATATTTTTATATTATTAAATTGAATACACATACATTGACAGAGGAGTAGATGTTTATTATCTACAAAATATGAAGTGTAATTTTACCTGTAATTGTACCCTCCTCTTTAGTATTTGGAATACTTGATTGATAATAATGTAATTTTCACACAACTCTAGATTAATTAATTATTATTATGCAATATGAAGCACATCTGGTTTGTTCACAAGTTCAAATTTTCCAATTTCTTCAACTATATTTTTGGCAAAGTTTCTTCAAATTATATTTATCTCCTAAGTTTCAGATACTCTATAATTGCAAACATTGAAGTCTTCCTTAGAGAGAAGGAATGGGTGGCTTTGTGGAGAAAGCACAGAGTTGAGTGGTCAAGGGCCCATCATCTAGTTATGTGATCATGGGAAGGACAGTTAACTTCTTTGAGCTATAGTTTCCTCATCTTTAAAACTAAGACGCTGCAATTGCTCTATCAACTGCCTGGCATTGATACGAGAATAAAATGATGAAATGAAACTGAAACTGATTTGCAAATTGTGAAGCACTATGTAAAAACAAATTGTGGGTATGATTACCATTGTTCTTACGGTCGTATGTAATTAATTCCCTAATAAAAATATAAATTAGAACAAAGCCAATAATTTATATTTATATGATAAACTGATTTCTAATATATTGAAAGTATAATATTAGAAAACCTGTGTGGAAGTAATGTATTTTCCAGCTTTTATATTTAATTTCTTCTATGAGTTTTGAAATGATGATATTATCTAAACATGTTAATTATTAAGGAAAAATATTAATAATCATATTTCCTAATATGCCACATTTAGTTCAATTAGGAAATAAAATGGAGAATTATAACAATCACTCATCTAGGAATCTAACTCAAAAACTATATCCTTGTTATCTTTTATTAAGTAGAATTGGAAATAGTAAATAAACTATACTTGAGCTTTACATAACTTAGTAAATATGTTTGCATTTCTTTTATTCTTGCTTTAAATAATGTTTTCTTAAATTGTTGATACAGGTAATTCATATGAAGGCAGTATCTACAATACATAGCTTTTTTTTTTTTTTTTTTTTTTTGAGACAGTCTCGCTCTGTCTCCCAAGCTGGCGTGCAGTGGCATCATCATAGCTCACTATATCTTCAAACTCCTAGGCTCAAGTGTCTTCCTGCCCCAAGTAGCTGGAACTACATTTGTACACCACTGTGCCCAGCTAATTTTTTCTGTTTTTAATAATGACGGGGTCTGACTCTTATTCAGGGTCTTGAACTCCTGAGCTCAAGCAATCCCCTTGCCTCGGACTCCAGAGTGCTAGGATTACAGGCATGAGCCACTGTGCCTACATAGCTATTTCTAAAAAACTTTATATGTGAGAATTTTTTAAGAGCAAATATGTGACATCTTTTTTGAAACTCAATGGAAAAACCTAATCAAATGTGAATTATCTTATCAGTGTCCATAATAAGACCCAATGGTCCTTGGAGGACTGTACAATAAATTTAAGGGCTTATTCCAAGTCAAAAAAGGTCAAATTTGGGATAGCGATCATCAGATATTATTATGTAATAAATTATATTTGTAGATTAATGCAGAGAATTTCTGAACTAATTTTTTGGATTTCGAAATTTTGATTCAGTAAGTTTGAAGTGAAGCCCAGAAATCACTTCAAGAAATACTGGTCTAGGGAATGTATTCTGCCCATCCAGTATAATACAGGGAAATAAATGTACAGGAGATTATATATTAGATATATGCTTTATAAAGCACTGTGCACAATTATGAACACTTAAATGAAAAAAGATCTATAAAATATTAAATACATATAATTTTGAAGTATTTTTTTATCTCATCAATATTTTCTGCCTTCAACAACTGTGCTTAATATTGGGGATAGAAATTAATATTTCAAATAGCGGGTACAATTGTGCCTCTTTGAGATCTTAATTGTCTAAAGGTTATTTTTACATAATTAACTAGACTGTAAGATTCTATTTTTAAATAAGTGATTCTTTAAGCCAGTATCACTTTTTTCATCATTAATAACAAAATGTTTCTTTTACTGTGCACTAGGGCTCACCAGGAGAGCGTGGATCAGCAGGGACAGCTGGCCCAATTGGTTTGCCGGGACGCCCAGGACCCCAGGGTCCTCCTGGTCCAGCAGGAGAGAAAGGTGCCCCTGTAAGTAATGTCAAGGAGAAAATACATTATACTGTTACCCTGCACACGTGTGACTTTTTATTCAAGAATATTAGCTTTCCATACCCCACTGCATTCTCTCTGCATATGTGCCTGGCATATGAACACAACGTCTTTTTATATTTATAATGGAGGAAATTTCAAATTCAATTAAATGAGATAACTTTTTTCACAGTTTATGGAACCTTAAACCTGTGAGGGAGTTGGATATTATTAATGTAAAAGGCTTCTCATTTTGCTCCTTTTAAAAAATATAATCGGGAGTTTTGATTAAAACTATACCTCACTGCTTTATATTAGAAAAGTGTGAACTTTTCGTATGTCTTGTAATACAAATTCAATTCCAAGCATTTCCATAGTCTGTAAATGAAACCCATAGAAAGCGGCTGCCCTTCTCATGTAATTTGAGCTTTGATCTCCAGTGAGTGAGATGGGAAACACCTGACCAATTATTTCATCTTATATTTATTGGATTTTAAAATTGTATACTCAAGTGACTTTGCACTCTGTTCATCAGGTATATGTTTTTTTGCTGAGATTTCTCCTCTGTTTTTGTCCCTGCTTTTGATTTAATCATGCTGATTAAAAAAAAAAAACAGTCTCTCATCTTACAAGATTAAAACACAAACTGATTCAGTAAATGTAGATAAAAGTGTTGGCTATGATACACAAAAATCTATGTTTAATACTTTTGTATACTGGTAAGTCTTGGCATATATAAATCAGTTTAAGATTATAATTCAAAATGCTTTTTTATCATTAAGACTTCAGTTTAGCAAGTTGATTGTTTTCATTGTCCATTCATTTTCTCTCATTACTTTGTGATATTATTCCAATGTTTCTGTTTTAGTTCATTTTGTGCAGCTATAACACTATACCACAGATTGGGTCATTTATAATGTATAGAAATTAATTAGCTCATGGTTTTGGAGGTTGGAAAGTCCAAATTAAGGAGCTGCATCTGGAAAGGGCCTTCTTGCCACGTCGTTTCACAGTGGGAGAGCAAAGTGAGGATGAGAGAGAGAGAAGCAAACTCTCCCTTTTATAATGACCCCACTCTGGCAATAGCAGCATTAATTCATTCACTCAGCCCTCTGGCCTAATGACCTCTTCTTAGGCTCCACTTCCCAAAACTGTTGCATTGGGATTAAGTTTCCAATGTGTGATTTTTGGGTGACACATTCAAACGACAGCAATTTCCAAATAAAAAAAGATTTTTTTTTTCTGTAATCAGTTACCTTTCAGAAACAGTTAAAATGTAAGAATGGGGCTATAGCACCTGTGGGTAGAATTTTTGGGTGACAGATAAAGGACTTTTAATATGCTGAGCATTTTTCTTAAAGCAAAATATTTTATAATGTGCTGGGCACTGGGAGGAAATAGAAAGAATAGATTCAGGTATTTTGATCCAAGTTCTTTTAAAAATCTAAGGCACATGTATCTAGGCACAATATCATAAAGAATGCATATAGAAAAAAGGAATATACATTGCTTTTATACAAATTGAGAATATGCTATTCAGAAAAGTCACGACTTCTGCGAAGTTAATATATTGAACAGTGGGTTTTAAAATGAAAGTATACCTTGGTTTTATGAAGGACTAATATATTGAAACAAAGATCAGAATATAGAAAAGCACTGAAAATGATAATAAGAAATTAATTTGGTGGGACAGACGGGGAAGTATCGACAGAGCCCTTGTGAGATCTAGGCTTTGGACCTGGGTTTTGTTGGAAGTTGATGATACCATGACTAGGGAAAGGCAAAAGGGAACGGTTTGCTCATCCATCCTCTCTCAGTTCTCGCCACCACCACCAACTCCAGGATATTGGTTCCATTTTGCTTTTATTCAACAAATAGTTATTTAGAATAACTAAGTGCTAGCTACTGTATTAAGTAGTACTTTGAGGAAGGTGTCTGGTTAGGGGACAGTAGCATAAAGTGGTTGTAAGAGCGTTGGGAGAAACTACCCTTAGCTATCCATGTATGGGTCTAATAAAAACTGATGGAAATAACCAAATTAAGTGCAGACTTTTACTTCTTTCTCTTCCCAATTATAAATTTGGATCTTACTTCCTCTGAGCAGCTTGTGTTATAAAAATATGATGCAATTATCAGTAGGTTTAGGCTTGCGTAAAGAAAGAGAGAGACAAGACTGGGTCTGTGGAAGACAAGTTCTTGGTCCCTCTACCCTTCAACGCAGCTTCTTGGAAGGGAGAAAGTGGAAAACAAGAGTATTTACATGACCTACTATGGCAAGACTGCGGTTTAATCAGACTCCTCAAATGAATCGGTCAGATTAGAAGCTCTTGGAGGTGGGGCTGGAAAGCAGGTAAGAAGGGAGTCAATAACCTTTTCAACTTAATTGCATTGACAGAAATATTTTGACAGGGAGAATGATTCTTAAAGAAAACTATTAATTGTGTTGGAGAGATACTGAATGGAAGAATTACAGATAGGAATCTATGTTACTTACATATCTATTTGGGGGATAGTTGTAGAAACGGGGCAAGCATGGGTACAGCTAGATCCAAAGCACAATGAAGCCAATGCATTTAACCACAGATGAATTAGATAATAGGAGTTAGAGATTTTCAGAAAATTATGCTCCAAATACTTATTTATAATTTCAAGCATATATTTGCAGATAGAATGTTCAGCGCCAAGATTGTAAATCTGGGAGTTATTTAGAATAAGTGATATTTAGAAACTATTATTTGATTACTATGTGATACAATGTTGAGGAGGGAGGAGAACAGAAATCTGGACCCATTCTTTTCTTTCTTTCTTTTTCTTTTTTTCTATTTTCTTTTTTTCTTTTTTTTGAGACAAAGTCTCCTTCTGTTGCTCGGACTAGAGTGCAGTGACTGTATCATCATAGCTCACTGCAACCTCAAACTCCTGGACTCAAGTGATCCTCCTGCCTCAGCCTCCCAAGTAGCTCGGACTACAGGTGCACATCACCACGCTTGGCTAATTTTTGTATTTTTGTTAAGATGGTGTCTTGCTCTTGCACAGGCTGGCTGCGAACTCCTGAGCTCAAATGATCCTCCAGCCTCAGCCTCCCAGAGTGTTAGGATTACAAGCATGAGCCACCATGGCTAGCCCAAGACTCATTCTTTATGGAAAATTATAATGGGTGTGATTCTGAAAGGATCCAGTAAGAGAGAAAGAGAGTCCATAAATTATAGATATAGATAGATATAGATATAGATAGATGTAGATAATCTCCAGAGGCATGCTATCAAACAGACCAAGAGAGAAAAGAGTCCTCTTTTGTTAGAGTTGCAAAAGATCAAGAATATTGAAAGCTTAAAAAAACAAAAAGAGAGGCTGAGATTTGACCTGCGGACATTCATAATTTTAGGATAATTATAATGGGATTCAAAAAGAAAGTGAACTATGAAGAAGTGGAGTGGAGTAGGTGAATGTAGATCGCCCAAGTAAGGCATGGAGACGAAAGAAGAATGAGTCGTAGGTGGAAGTACTAGTAGGAGGGAATGCAATGCAATGCTTCTCCTTATTGTATTGTGCATATACTTATCTACTTTACCAATAGTAAGAAAATAATCGGTGAAAAGTGAGGAGTTAAGGAAGTCAAACTAAAGCTGCCTGCTTGGAGACGACTAGAATTGGATTGAGAACTAACTCTATCATGTATTTAGGTCATGATTTTGGTTATTTAACATTAAAACCTCTGTTTTTTCATCTCTGAAAAGAAGATAATCAGTATTTTGTGAGGATTAGATAAAACTACAGTTCTAAAGCACTTTGCAGAATTGTGGTAAATGTTCAGAATAATCGTCCTCATTATCATCATCATCAGTGCGTGAACCAGACTTGCCATAAAGAAGGAAGAAACAATACACTAAAAATAAATATATAAATCAGCTTTTAAGTAAGGAGGGAGGGCTTTGTGACTTGTGGTAAAAGTTGAGGGCATGAAGATAGGTTAAATACAAGACCATGCCAAGTCAAACAAAGCATATGGCAATGTGTAACTATCTCTCAATTTTTTAAGGTAAAATTTAGTTACTAATGTAAATGGAAGGGTAGAAGTGGTGAAAGAAAGACTGACCAGTTAAGGAAAGACGATGTGTCCGGCTGTTGTGTGGGTTGTGGGAGGGACTGCTATGTCGTCTTGAAGAGTTATAAATGTTGAATCTAAATTTAGAGTGCTGCAGATCACTGGAACGATTTCTTCCGACTCCAAACAGACCAGGGTCAGAAGAAATATAATAAATGGCAAGTAGTTCCCGGCTGGAGATTATATGTACTATAATGAAGGCAGATGAGAACTTATCGGTCTTATTTACAGCTATCCTTGTATAAAATAATTGAATTTTGCAGTTAAGGGTAACAAGGATATTCAAATTAAAGGGGAATATTTGAAACAGCTGTTTTGTTTAAAGCAGTGAAGTTTAGTGTGAACAGCGCAGTACGTCTCATGAGTATAGGTAGGTATCATAATATTTGATGGAAGGAAATGAAAGGTCTCCAGAGTGACATCAGAGGTATGTTTTATATGATATATGGCACAGTTTTGAAAAACAAGTACATGTGAAAACACAGGCATGTAATAAATCAGGATCAACAAGTTAGCTTTGTTTTATAGATATTTTGTTGTCATTAATTAACTAACTCAACAAATGCTCCTTAAGTGGCTACTCCGGGCTGCAGGCCAAGAGTATATAATGAAATGCAAAAACAGACACATTTCCTGCCTTCGCACTCTTTATTGTCTGGTGGGGAAATTAGATAATAAAGAATCACTAAATACATGTGTAATTACAAAATCTGGTTATTGATATGAAGGAAATGCAATGGTATATGTCAGTTTATAGCAGAGAGATGAGTGCTAGAATTGGGACTTGTCCTTGGACCATACATTGAAGGTGACATGTAAAAGAGGAGGCCAAAGGAACAAAATGTGATAAGGCCATATGACAGGAGAGGGCATGGCATCAGATTTAAGGGACTGAAAATAAGATCTAGAAGGGGTGGCATTCAGAGAGCAAGGGTTCGAGGAAGCCAGATGTGCTAGGGCAGGTAGTAGGAGGCAGGTCATGGTAAGCCACACTAACCTTGGTCTTTGTCTTAGGGACAGTAACAAGTAAATTGACCTAAAAAGTGTAAGTGAGATGATCCGATTGACTCTCTGGATACAGAATGGGGAATAGATTGGAAGGAAGTAAAAATCAATGTGGGGAAAGGCAGGAGGTTATTTCAGGATGTCAGACAAAGGATACTAGTATTTTGGAATAAGGTGTCAGTGGTGGAGGTAAAGTGAAGTGAATATATTCAAGAGATAATTAGGAGACAAAACAAGCAAAACCAAGTCATTGTAGAAGAGCAGGAGAAGGTAAGGGAAGTGGGGGAAAGTGGAGTAATGCAAAGGCAGGACCTAATGAGTTGTAGATTACTCTTTTATATGACAAGAACAAATAGAACCCCCAAATGCAATCAGAAATACTGTCTTATGCAAAGCTGGTGAAAATTTTGACTTTTAGAAAATAATTTATTTTAAACTCTGAAAGGATGTTTTATGGGAAATAGAGGCTGTCTTCATTATCAAGGCACTATTTTTTTTTTAAATTACACATATAGGTAAATTTAAAAACAGGAAAATAATACCATTATTAAAAACCAAATGAACCAAAATAAAAACAGAAAAAGTTAACAGCCTTGTCATTTCACATCAGTGAAAGCAGCAGTGATTTAATATATCAAAATGTGGGAAAACCCATGAAACATTTGTTAAAAATAGGAAAGAGTTACATGTAAAACATAAAGCATATTGCAAACTTGGACATGTGAGCAAATGTATTTTGTGATTTTTAAAGCTTAGTTCCCATTGCACAGATATTTCAGTGGCACTAATGAAGGGGAGTAGAGGCTCAGCAAGTTTTCGTAAACATCAGGCATCCGATTTGTCAATATATAATACTTGCTTAGAAAATACATGTTTGAAAGAAAAATTCTAATTTGAGTCCTAATTATTTTTGCGGCCCATAGTCTGAGATTCATAAATGATTAAAAAAGGACATTATTCTTAGTCACTAATGAATGTAGGGATCTTTTGAGTTGTCATTTGTCACTTGAAAATATTTTTTCTTAGAAACATTGAACAATTTCCTTGTCAAATATATTAATAGAAGGTAGCTTATGACTGTTGTAGCTACACTTCAAAATTGTAGCAAACAGTTAATTTATAGGTTTCTTACAGCAAATTAATGATCTGTTGGATTGTCAATACAGGGAGAAAAAGGTCCCCAAGGCCCTGCAGGGAGAGATGGAGTACAAGGTCCTGTGGGTCTCCCAGGGCCAGCTGGTCCTGCTGGCTCCCCTGGAGAAGACGGAGACAAGGTTGGTGTTCTTTATTAATGTTAGTAAATCCTGCGAGAAAGTTTAATTTTTTTTTCAAGAATTCTGGAATTAATCTTTTTAAGATTGGATGCCAGATAAAAGGTTATCTTTTTCAAAGTTTCAAACATGTTCCAGCCAAGTTTTATTTAAAAAGTTGAGAGTTAGTATGTATTCCATAAAACAGTATGTGGGATATAAACAGGAAAATGGAATGAAAGAAGAATGGTAGTGAGAAAAAATAGTAGAGGCCAAAATTTACTTACTTTTAAAATGCCCTTCTGAAATGAATATAAAAATAATTAATTATATGTATATATTAACTCTCATGTTTTGGATATCGTACAGTAAGATTTAAGAATGAATTACATACTTGATAATCATGTTATCTTTTACCAACAGATAAATACTCTAAACACTTGATTCCAAGACATTTTTGAATCTGATATATTTTAATATTTTATTGTAAAATATTGTAAAAATTTGTAAACCAGCACTCCAATAATGTGCATGATTTTAGTATTTGGAAAACTAGGAGAAAAGAAAAGTAATTTTTGATTAATGTGTAATCATAGTTTCTATACATCAATGTACTTTCATTATCAGTTTATACTGGTTATATTGAGACTAAATTAATTTTTTGGTTATAAATCCAGTTGCAGTATTCCTTGATATTAAGTTGACTTTTGTTTGTGTATATATTATTCAGTACTAGAAAGCTAGAAGCAGAAGGAACCCAACATTTTACATTTTAAACAGTGACGTTAAACACTAACATGTGATTATATTAAAGGTAAAATTTAACAATTTGATAATGATAAAAACAATTCAATGGCAGGGTGGCATGTTAGAGATAAATTTTAACTCAAATCTTTCAAATACAGGGTGAAATTGGTGAACCCGGACAAAAAGGCAGCAAGGGTGACAAAGGAGAAAATGTGAGTTTCCCACTTCTTGTTGAGGGAACATTACTCATTTTAACATCTTTTACTGTTTACTGTGGATATTTTTATGTTGTACTACTTAACTATCCAAAACTTAAAATATCGATACTATATTTCTTCTGTGGTTATATAATTCTATACAATTCTGTGAGGTTTTCTTTCTGTGATTAAGTAAATTATGATGATTATAGGCCACATTTATAAATCTGTGATAGCACATGAAAGAATAATATAATGAAATAATCTTTTCCATATGATCATGAGAAATAATATGTACCAAAATTAATACTATTACTATATTCCACATGTATACCCATTGATAAATCTGTTCCCATATACTATAAATATTTATTTTAGAATTTTTCTCTGAAGTCATAAAACTATCAAAACAATTTTGCTTTCTCACTCAAATGATGTGGTCACTCTTGCCTCTATAACTTTTTCTTCATTCTTTACCACTTTACATCCTCTTTAAATTAAATATTTAAAAAGTTTCCTTGTTCTTAGATTAAACACATTGGATAATGATACTCTCATGTACTTCACCTCAGCACTTAATAATTTATACTCCTTAAAGAACATCTACGGACATTTAGTTTTTTAAGTTCTTTATTTACATTATTTCTTTCTTTAACTGTTCATATATTTGCTCTGCAATAGAAATGTAAATTGGGGGAATATAGAGATATGTCTTTAATTAACTTTTTTTTTTTTTACCTAGTATGGAACTTTATACATCATCCCTAGCAGTTTGATTCTAATAGATTATTCTAGTTCTGTCCTATGATCCATCTATCATTTGGATGCTTTTAGGGTTAGAATTACTGCATACCTTAACACATAACTTTGAAAAGAGGTTTTATTAGAATTGATTGAATCTCAAACTAAGTATTAATATTTACCAAAGACTTATGAGAGCTGAATATTTCTAACTAAAAAGAAATCTCTAGAATCAGAGCAGAAAGAGCTTGCATGTAATTGCAGTATTGAATATGTAATAGGCCCTTGATTTCTTTTTTTATTGAGTATAACAAAACCTTAGAAAATAAGCAACAACACTGATACTCTGGATTTATGCTGTAAAATTATGACAAGAAATTGTGTACAGAAAACCAGCTGTGTAAGTTTGGTGCAATTGGTATTGACTATAAATTTACAAATTCTATTTTAGTATCTGCCTTAGTCTGTTTGTGTTTCTATAAGGGAATATCTAAGGCTGGGTAAATTATGAAGAAGAGGTTTATTTAATTTGAGAGTCCTTGGGCTATACAAGAAGCATGATACCGGCATTGGCTAGGCTTATCCTAGGGCTGTTGTGCTGCATCAAAACATGGCAGAGATCAAAAGGTATGTGAGCATGCTCAAAGAGGAACCAAACCCTACGTGCATCCTGCCTTTATGACAACCCACTCTGGATGGTGGGAAGGGTGATGGGGGCGGGGAGGGGAACTAATCCAGCTCCCTGAGAACCAATCCTGTCTCTTGAGAAGGAGAACTCACTACAGGGAGCCATTCATGAGGGATTCACTCTCATGACCCAAACACTGTCATTAGGCCTCACCTTCACTGTCAGGGATCAAATTTTAGCATGAGGTTTCATGGGGACGAATCAAATTACTGTAGAGGTAAATTACGTTCTTTAGACTCCATTTAGATTTCCTAAAGATAAGTAAATGCTATTGGTCTAATTAGAATACCTTATATACTAGACAAAAGCCATATTTTAAGAAGTTTTTATGTCTTCCTTAAAAGCTGTGATTAAACATGACTGCAGGACTATTATTTAAGCCAGAAGTTCTCACACATTTTTGCCTCTCAGGACCCTTGTATACTCCTAAATTTTTTTGAAGAGCCCAAAAAGCTTTTGTACATGTGAATTAAAACTGAGATATTTTAATACTTATGTATGGACTCATTTAGAATTAAGAATAACAAGCTCAAAGCACTTTTAATGAAAAATAGCTATATTTTTCTCAAGCAAAAAACAATGCAAGTAGCATCTTTAAGTTTGTTGTATCTAGCTTAATAGATAAAGCTATAGTCTCCTATCTACTTCAATCTGTAATGACGTGTTATTTTGTTTGAAAGCATGAAGAAGATCCGAGCTCACAAAAATATGTAGTTTTAAAAGGAAGGAGCATTTTGAATACCTTTTCAGATAATTTTGTATATTCTCCGATTCTACATCAAAATTTGATAAGTGGTCGTTTTTCTTAACAGTAAGTTGCAATACAGAATCTGAAATCAAAACAGTGAGATTTTTGTGCTATTACATTAACACCCATTAGCTCTCTCTTGTACCTTGACTTTTATTCATACATAATTTTGCAATATCTTTTCATTGGACATTTAGAAATTATTGGTTGACTGGGTAAGGTCATCAAATTATGGACACTTTTTAAAATAGAATATCAATATCTTAAGAAAATTGGGAAGCTGGGAAGCCCACAATGGAAGATGTGAGATTTCTAAAATTCTAATTTTTGCTTGAAAGTTTAAATTTAATCATTGACAATAAGTACTGCCAGTTGTTGGCACTGAAGTCTCAGGTTTCCTTTATCTTCAATAGCATATCTGCCAAATTCCCAAGTTTAAATAATCATAGTTTTTCTGTCAGCTGCTGTTTCAAGTAAAAAATGGTGTTCCATGTAAAAGTTGATATTCCAGGTAAAAGTTCAGCTTGCTAATCAAAGTATAGTCCAAGCACTTTTTCTGAGTCAGGCACTATACCTCATTATGAAGCAAAAGTACTTCATGTGTGTTTTACATCTTGTCACATGAATATCAAAAGACATACTCAAAGTCAGTATTTAATAAAATTAGTAACTTTCTGTGCTTCGTCAAGAACATTCTTAAGTGAAACAGCCATTTTTGTGTTGACTAAGAGTACATTGTGATGAAAATGCAATGAATGATATTACAAATGGCAGCTACAAACATTAGTGGGGCTAATCCACCAGCAATTTTATCCACCATTGTTTTTGCAGCATTAGTGCAAATGTCTATGTAGTATAAAACACAAATATGGTAGTTATGATAAGGAATAATACAATATAATGACTTAATTTGCTCGTAATTTCTTCTTAATTTTTTATAATGCCTGACCACTTATTAATGTAAGAAAATAAGACAGTTAGGAAATATCCATGCATGAAAGACTCCTAATATCTTTTGAATTCTAGTGCTTAAAATAAGGGATTCTGTTATACTTAACATATATAATAATACTAAGTTTGCATGGGTGTGCATATGTGAAAATTCTAAATTTTCGTATATCACTGCATTCTATCTGTATAGAATCCTGAGAACCTTGGTGTTCATTTAGAGGATAGTATATAGACAAATTTTTCATGTATTCTTTTCTCATTCATATATGTCATTAAAGGAATGATATTTTGAAAATTTTCAAATGTGAATCTTCAACTTGATTTATGTTAGCAAAAAATATATTTTGAAATATCTGCAATATTGCAGATGAGAGTGCTTCCAATAAATGCCAATTTAAAATTACTTTCAAATATGGAAGTCTGAGTCTCAAGGAGTAAAACAAAAATGGTTGTGCTAAATGCGAAAGACTTCTAATTGATGCTTCCTTTTTCTCAAGGAGCGTAGAGGTGTTTAATAGATTTCAATCAGCCAAATGTTCTGCTTTACATAGCCGAGGCTCTTCTGGCTTCAGTTTTAAAATTACTGATTTTTATCTCACCGCAGGGTCCTCCCGGTCCCCCTGGTCTTCAAGGGCCAGTTGGTGCCCCTGGAATTGCTGTAAGTATTCCACTTTGTTCAGAAAATCTAAATCCTCTTAGCTCCCTGATTAAAGTTACAAGTTGTCCTATACCTAGTTAGTTTTGTGGGGTAATTAAGTTTCGTTTGTATGCTTAACATTGAATCAAATTAAAATTATCTAATGTAGGCCGGGCACGGTGGCTCACACCTGTAATCCTAGCACTCTGGGAGGCCGAGGCGGGCGGATTGTTTGAGCTTAGGAGTTCGAAACCAGCCTGAGCAAGAGCAATACCCCGTCTCTACTAAAAATAGAAAGAAATTAGTCGGACAACTAAAAATATATAGAAAAAAATTAGCTGGGCATGGTGGTGCATGCCTGTAATCCCAGCTACTCAGGAGCCTGAGGCAGGAGGATCGCTTGAGCCCAGGAGTTTGAGGTTGCTGTGAGCTAGGCTGACGCCACGGCACTCACTCTAGCCCGGGAAACACGGTAAGACTCTGTCTCAAAAAAAAAAAAAAAAATTGTCTAATATAGCTAAATAAACTGATTCTTATAAACACACTGTGAGTTCATTTGAAAATAGATAATAGCCAGTTGAGAAGTACTTAATATATAATAAATTCTAAACATTATTTTCCCTTATTAGATAGCTTTTACTTCACTTGATAGACATGATCAAATCAAAATCGTCATACTCTAGAAACAAAGAAAGTAAGCAAAACAAATAATGATATATTTGCAGCAGATGATGGGAATTTAATCAATTTTTTCCTTTGTTATTCTCAAATAGATGTGCTTGGGTTAAATTAGAAATGACCACATTTTTATAACTCATATCTTAATGATTTTTCCAGTTTATTTGTGATCGTGTTTTGTTTTGTTTTATTTTTTTCTCCTCTCTAGGGAGGTGATGGTGAACCAGGTCCTAGAGGACAGCAGGGGATGTTTGGACAAAAAGGTGACGAGGGTGCCAGAGGTTTCCCTGGACCTCCTGGTCCCATAGGTCTTCAGGTAAGATGCCGTCATCATTGTTTACTCCATGATTTCCACCTACTTTTCTCACCAGGTTTTCTGGTGGATGAAAACAAAGCATCTTCTCTTTTTTTCTGTGTAAGAACTTGGGTACAATTTAACCATAATGATTGTTTTACTTAAATGTATATCTGAACTTCAACTGATTTTTATCAAGTATTATTAATTTTTTTGAAGACATATCAGCCGTGGTTCCTATTTCTGGAGTATAGTTAGCCCCACCCTGGGTATTACATCTTCTGTCTTCACTACCATTTTCTTTGAAAAATGAACTACAATCTTACTTAAGTCTGATACTTAAAAATAAGATGTTAGACGAGTTCTTTCATAGGTCTCATGGCTGAAAAGTTAGTAATTTGGATGGCTAACAAAAGTTATAAGTGTTTTGAGAAATAGCATACTGCCAATAGCAACTGCCAACAACAAGCTCTAAACAATGATAGGTAGAATAAGCAAATTAGCATTCAATTGATCATTTAAAATAGTTTATATTTTAATATTAAAATTTGAATTTTACAAAGCATATTCAAGAAAGAAAATATTAAATTGTAAAACATTATAGGGTAAGAAGTTTTATTCAAATATGTCTTACAACTTGACTCTCAGGCAAAATACTACAGAGCAGACATCTCCTATTCTGGGTTATTTTCCACCTTCTACTTGATGTTTGCTGCATCCTACAAACTTTGGAAACATCTAGCTTTCTTCTTCCACTTGCTTACCCTTTGCCAACCTAGTGATCATCTGAAAGATTATAAAATTTCATTTAAATGATATTTAGGTACCATATGGGTGTAACTTATGCCAAATTAGCAGCTTTAGAAATAGTAAAGTTAAGTCATCTGGTTCAATGACTCTAAAAATTTGTGAACTTGTAAAAAATATATATAAGTGGAACTTATACAGACTTAATATTTATCTTTATTTTCATAAATAAAATCACAACAGTATTTTTTTATATTAAATAGCCTACTAGGTATATAATTGTATAAATATGTTATAAATACAATATAATGAATTATAATATTATTGTTAAAACACTCAATGGATGTTTATCGGTGACTGTAATATTCTAATTGTCTGCTTTTATTTGAAGGCCAAAATAATTCCTTTTAAACTTGGAAAGTGTAAAACTGCACTTTCAAATTTGTAGTGTTTAACTTGGTTATATTTGTTAGACAGTGATAAATAAGCAGTCCTAAGTACCACATATCAATGTGTATGAGAAGCACACATATTTGAAAACAACAACAAGTCATTAAAATTAGATTGTCAATAGATACATTACTATTCATTTTCTGTTTTTTCATTTAACTGATTGCTCTAAATCCTATAAGGCTATAATTTAGAAACTTAGTTCTCATGATTAAAGAAGGTGCCTTGTAGCTTACATTTA